AAGTTCAGGAGGGATGACAACAGCCAAGTTCAATCAGACTCAGCTGTCAGTAAATCACAATCTCTTCCTCACTTAAAACATTATAGATACTGTACTTGATCCCCTTCTCTCTCTCTCATGCTTCTTTGTGGTCCCTACCTCCACCTCATCTCCACCTTTGCAGCTGCCCTTTGGTCACTCCTCACTCTGCATGGGTGTCCCAGTCCTATGGCCAGGAGATTAGCCTTTGGCCAAGTGTATTAAGCAAAGTCTTTGACTACATACTCCAAAGTCCTTTCAGTACGCTTAATTCTTGGGTGTTGTAATTCCTAGCGAAGATGTAATAAAGGGCCTTCTTGTGTATGCTATGACTAAGTCAGTACTGGCTAAAAATGGGACTGCTGTGGTGAGTCTGGATTTCCTTCAGAATTATGGATAGACTAGACAGCAGTGACATTTCAAGAGGATGGAGCCAATGGAAACTATTTTAAAAATAATTGTATCTCTACTCTATACTATAACTCATACTAATTTTTCTTTTGAATTAGTATCCCTGTCATGTACAGTAATGCTTTGCTTGATTCCTTGAATTTGAAATGTTTTTATTTGGTTGCTTTGTAATGTATTTCAAATGAAAAATAATTAAAAATAATGTTGTTGTGAATAGCTTTGGTCTTGTATTAGTGTTTTTTTGGGATGGGCATTTAGAGAAGTACTGTATGTTTAGTCTCCATATTTGTGATGGTAGGTCTGCATCCTCGAGTTGTTCCAAGTTTCTCATTTTTAGCGAATAAATGACAGAGAATCCCTGCTCTGGGTAGATGTTGAACATCTCATAATTTTATACTGTAAAATCATGATTATAAACAAATACTTAGAAACTGCCAGCAACAAAATAAAAAGAGTGAAGAAAAAAAATACCCTGACAAAACCAAATAAGCAGTAGTTCAATAGATTGCCCATTATTGTTAAATATACAGGAGTTTGCTTATTTGCAACCCTATTAATTTAATCTACTCAGCATACATCATCAATCTTTTATGACCCCCTGTAAAGCTGATGTCATACACATATTTGTTTTGCAATTTCCTGCTAATTTCACCTGTAAAATATTTCATATCCAAAAAAGTTTGATGTCATAAAGCTTTGAGTTCAGAAGTAAATGTATCTTTCATATGGCCTTTTGTATTAGTATTTGATTTGACCTGTAAAACAAGCAAGTAAAAATATCGCTACTATTACAAACTTTTCCATGCAATTAAATGAGTCATGTTTCTCTCTATGGGATCACTAATTGTACTACCTTATACTACAGACTGCTTACAGTATATTCCCATGGTGATTTCCATCTACATCTTTATAAAAACTTGAAGTTTTATGTCACTTTAACAGTAGGTATATGCTTTTGATGCATTGCCATTTAAAAAAAATACTTTAATGCTTTTGTTCTTTGATAAAAAACACAAAGGAAAAACATAAGAAAAATTCATGGAGAGTATAAAATACAACATTCTACAGCATTTCACAAAAAGCTGAATTTATCTTGCCATGTATATTCATACTGTATACTGTAGTTATACTGTGGTAAGTATTTAAAATACTACTGTATTACTGTATTATTGTTTGATGTATGTATTGCTATATACTGTATATTAAAACTTTAATGATATGAATTATAATTGCATATACTTATACACAGTACAATAGCGGAAGAATAAAAATGTCATAAGCATTTATATGAATACCAAAAAGATAAATATGTCAGAAGGTAAGACAGAAGCCTAGACTTAAGGCAAAAATGATGATGCTATCTTTCAAAACAACATTTCATCTTCAGTGTATTTATATTTACAAGAGATATTTTTGGTGAGTATGACTTTGTTGTTTTCTGTACTTTATAATAAACACTTTAATATGATTTCCTTTTAAAATTCTAATCATCTATTGAAAAAACAAGTTATTTAAAAATGAAAAAAGTGCTACTTTTGTCAAAATAAACTCTACTGTGGAAAGTAGTAAAGACCTTTTGTATTAATTGTATTCAATTATAGTATGTATGTTTTGTGTGTATGAAGAAAATGTTCACATGCATAAAATGCTAGATTACCAGTAAATATTTTACTTCTTTAAAACATACAATATATAAACCTAATATACATATTTATTATTATGTATATAATGAGCATCAAAACATTATATATTTTTAGGGACCACTAATAGATTAAATAGATAAAAAATGTATTATTTAGAGCTTAAATTATATATTAAGAGATATTATACTTACTAAATTAATGGAAACATAATTAAGTGATGGAGATAAGATTCATACATATTATTACAATTAATTAGCAAATTTCAATGCATATTACTTTGAATTCCGAATTTAAAAACTGCTTCACTTCTTAATCTAAAATCTTAATTTAGCAAACATGCAGTTATATACATTCATTTGTTTTAATTATTTTAATGCACTTAATAATATATAATAAGGGAAATCAAAGATTTCCTTAAAGTTTGATTAACATAATGTTAAGACACAGCTGGGACTCCAAAATTCTACAGTGTCCCTTGATCCTACAAATCCTATAGCAGTAACCTAATCACAACTATGCAGTTAACTGATAATCAATTTTTAATTGAAATTACAACTTGTTTACTTAGAAACATTTTTCCTCATTAGAAGATGAAGATAATGGCGTCTCCATTTTTAACAGCACTCTGTGCTTATGTTGTTGATGTCCCAAGATGATGTAAAAAGTTAAACATTCATGCACACACACATTTTATATATTGACAATCAATTACATCTGATAATGTTTTTTTGTAATTACAGGATAGAGAAAATAGCTGTGAAGAAACAAGTCTGCCATGAATTATCCTAAGTTCAATAATTCCTTCTAATGATACCTTTGTTCAGATCATATTTTAATATTCAATACAATTTTAAAATACAGGAGGGAGACAACAACTGGGAAAAGCTATCTTGCAATGAGTTCCTTGAATTCAACACTTCCTCAAAATGTTTCATTTGTTCGACCTCAGTTCTTTTATATTGGCGGATTTTCTAATATTCCTCATGTGAAGTACTATTACATTTTCTTGTGTTTTGTTTTCATTGTAACTGTATTAGGAAACTCTTTCATCATGTTCATTATATACATGGAGCAAAGCCTTCACACCCCAAAGTATGTTGCTGTTTTTCATTTGGCTGTAGTTGATATGTGTGGCAGCACAGCTCTTATTCCTAAAATGATTGAGACCTTTCTCTTTGATTTCCAGTTCATCACATATGAAGCCTGCTTGGCTAATATGTTTTTTGTACACTTCCTTTCTTCTTTGCAGTCACTTACCATTGTCATACTGGCATATGATAGATTTGTTGCTATTTGCTTTCCTCTGAAATATCATATCATCATCACTACTGCAGGAATAACTAAGATCTTAGCAGGAATATGGATTCTAGCAGCTGCAGTAATATTATCTCTTGTAGGTTTAACTACCAGGTTATCATTCTGCAAAACGATTGTGATAGACAGCTATTTCTGTGATCATGGACCTATGTATCGTATGTCCTGCAATGACAATTTTCCCAATTATGTAATTGCTCAGATGGGTATTACAATATTGCTTGCCGCACCTTTGACTCTAATTCTGTCATCCTATGTTTGTATAATATTAGCATTACTAAAAATTGCATCAACAGACGAACGTTTACGAGCAATGAAAACCTGCACCTCTCATTTGATCTTAGTGGCAATGTTTTACCTTCCGATATCTGCCATCTACATTGCAGCAAACCTTACCATTATTCACCCAAATATCAGGATAATAAGTACATCTTTATCTTCCACCATTCCACCAATGATGAATCCCATCATCTACACAATCAAAACAGAGGAGGTAATGAAAGCAGTGAGAAAACTTCAAAAAAGAAACAAGGCAGTTAAACTTAAGGAGGATCAATAAATAGATCTTAATGGAAATGGTAAATTATGCACACTGGCATGCATGAAACATCATTATGTTTTTACATATTGCATGTCCCTGTACTGTACATGCAGTTACAAGTGAGTAAAATGGGGTTTCCAAATGTATGAACACTCCAAAATATGTGATCACTATTACAAACAATCTGTTTTACATGTTATGATGTGCCTCCTCGTGTTTTTGATGACTTATAGCTAATTTGTTTGAATGTAGCTGGGTGTGCTCTTTTTATATCAGTTTAATACACTTTTTAATTATTTTCTTCCCTTTTATATCCTCACATTCACTGTTCACTGTTCTGTACCTCCCATGCTGTTTCACCACTCTGCCTGTTCTGGCTTCTTTGTTATACTTAGAGTATCTTCATTTCCTGGAACCTATCTCTCTGTGTTTCCCTACCTTCTAATACTTTATATACATATTCTATAGACCCACACTTATTTATTCTATTCCTCTCCACTAACATCATTCATCAAGTGTCTCTCCCTGTGCTAATTCTCGTGTTATCCTGCAGTTCTCTCGTCATTCTACCACTGCTAACTTTGTAGGTTTCATATGAAACCTTTTTCTCCTGCTTTTGAAATGTTTCTATAATTAGCTTTGCACCCTATTCCTATTCATTACAACCACAACACATTGTAATTTGATTATTTATTTTTTCTTGATTTACTGAATGCATTATGAATGTGTGTGTGAGTTGTTAAAATATTCTTTGTATGTGGACATTTTTGGAAAATGCAAAACATATCCTTTTTACAGCCTTTACACTCCAAGAATCTGTTGGTGCTAATAGGTATTATACTGTGAATTCTATTCTCTGGCATGCCATTACATATGTGCTATATAATTGTTAAAAATAATTAGCATCGATAATAGTGAAATTCAAATCATTGTAAGGGTGCCTGCACCAGTCACAGTCGCAGCTGACACAGCTACAAGTTCCCAACCTCCATTTTCCCATCCACTTGCACCCATCTGGTGCGGTGTCAGCCCTCAATTCTTCCCCCACCTCACCAGCTTCCACAGTCTATTTCACAGTCCAGTTAAGGGTACCAGGCTCAATACCTTGCTTTAGCTAACGATTTTACTATTTTGGGGGGATCTGCGTGTAAGCTGTATTCATCCATTCAGTTGCAGAAAACATTGGCAAGTGGTATCACTGGTTCCCAGTATCCTGCAGATAACCTTAGGCTGCTCATTCCAAGTCAACCTACTGTCCTCCACTCCCCAACATACAACTTACATCCCAACTGATCTAGGCTTGATTGGATCTACTGTCACTTGTTTGCTGTCTAGCTTTCTATCACCCACATCATACGTGGGTCTCATTTTTTATACTATGGCACAAATTCTAAGATCAGTGTTCCTCCAAAACCATGAATATCCAGCCAGACCCAATTAAACCTTAAACACCTATAACTCCATCACAAAAGAAACCTACTTGAATGTTTTTGGGTTTTCTTACATCCTTTATGGAGGTTTTACCAATCTTGACATAGTTATAGTTAGGGCTGTCATTTCCTCAGACGGGCAAATGAATGACAGACAACTAAATATTAATATAATATAAAATATTACATTATGATTAGTAATTGTAATTATATATAAGTAAAAATATTATTTTGTAGCAAAATGTCTTATCATCAAATTAATTAGAATTTAATTGTGCAACTAAAAGGCTATTTACAAAGTTACAATTTCATGCCAAACCAATCCTCATTGACTTTAGAGATAGTCCTATGAATCGATTTGTTGGAAATATCATGCATCAAGTTCCATTAAAATATTGTGGACAGTAAAACGAACAATGGACATTTAATACTCTAATCATAAGCACATACGTTGCTTAAAATTCATACAATACAAGACAGGAGAATATAACTTTAGTTTTGTGATTAAAGTTCTATGTCTATCCTATAATCAAACTATTATGTGCAAATAAGCATACTGTAAATATTTGTTCTAGGGGTTCCTGTTAGTATTAACAAAAAAGTATGTTATATACAGAAATATGTGTGCTCATAAAGCTGTGAAAGGTACTATGTGTTGAGAAGTACAGTTCTCATTCCAAAGTGTGTACATGTTAAAATGCAAGCTCTCCCCAAGGATAAAGAGTCACCCCCTCTAAACTCCTTCAAATCCAGACTCAAAACCCTCTTCTTTAGAAAAGCCTTTACTTAACTGGTTCCATTCTTCTCTGTATATTGTAATTGTTTTTTATCTCGTGTATTCTTTTTATTTATTGTTGTTGTCATTCTGTAAAGCACTTTGAGAAGTTTATTAATATTATTATTAGTACATGTTTTAATACATTTTTATTTGATAAGAAATCAAATAGACCAGTACAATTTACAGTACATCACAGATGATTTTTAGTGTATATACATAAAATGATAAGGATTGGATTATTGTTTTTCATACAGTATATACTTATAAAACAATATTTATTATTGACTTTAATAAGGCACAAAGTATTACATTATAGAAAAACAATATAACATTAGAGTTACAGTATAATAGTGCTGAATATCAAAAAAGAAAATACTGACAGTAAACAAGATGGAGGCATTTTAGGGAACTAAGAAACAACTGCTACTTTATTCTGATAACTTCACTTCATCTTTCTCTTTTAGGTGAATATAACACATTATTGCTTCTTAAAATGGTTAGATTCATAATGTAAAAGATTTCTTGTTTATTTAACATTGGATATAAATTACATATTTATTTTCTACAGAAATACGTCTGCAGGTTAAATAAGTAATACGTTAAAGGGAATATAATATGGAATCGCGTATCTCAAGAATTTAATAACGGTATGATTATATCCGTGTACTGCGGCAGGGCTGTGTAGGGCTGTTTC